CATGCAGTCTAAACCCTTACAACATCATTCAAAATTATATGTCTTTTATATAATCCCGCTTTCAGAGCACATGTACAGAAAAAAATCTGTTTCCCTAGCTTGCTTTCTCAGAAGTGGGATAGGATTCACTAATACAAAAAAAAAAAAAAAGGCATTAGCCCCTCTACTCTCTCAGTTCTGGTTCTCTGAACTCGAGGCTTAGGCTCTAGGCAGCTGTGTCTAGGACGAGTGCTCCTAGCTCAGTCCAGCACCTGGGAACTGGTAAGATTTGTGTTTGCATTAACTTCTGATTTCCACTCGTTGTGAGTTTTCATTGGCCTCCACGTAATTTAGCATGCCCCTAAAGTACCAGAATAAAATTTACTTCAGAGTTCTATGAGAGAGACAGTTTATATCAGGGTAGACTCTCAAGGGTCTTCTGTCTTCAACTGAATAATTAATTCACTTGAAGAAATTAGTTGACTGTTTTATGCCTCATACCTCCTAATTTTGGGGAAATATTTTTCAAGTTTTCTCAAAACCTTAGGCACCTTCCTGTAGAGGTTTTAACAATTTTGGTTTTAAGGTTTTTGACAGCTCAGTACCTGAGATTGGTCTATTCTCCCTGTGCTTAGCATTTCTGATGAAATACATATTTTAGAAACCACATTTTAAGGTGGTGCATACATATCTTAGAAGTTTCTTGTAGACAACAGAGTATATTTGTGGATTAGTTTCTAGAAGATTTTAACTTGCCGAAGATGGATAGTGCTAATTTATGCACTCTTTGGCATAAATTTGGATAACGAATCCAAGCAGCCCTAACTTGAAGTATGGAAGACAAGATTAATTAGTATGACCTATTGGCATTTTATTTGAAACATAAAATCTAGAGCATGCACATGTGAAATGTATAATGGATTCCTCAACCAATTAGTTTAATTGCATTCTGGATTATGGGACATTTAAGCAAACAGAAATAGAGAAAAGGGTTAATGGAGGTCAGGGTGAAGGCTTAGAGGGGAGTCAGGGCATGATTCATCTTTTGGCTGGAAAGAAGTAATTGGTAGTATAATTTTCCCAGGGCTGAGGATCACCATTTAACTCCACAATTTCTTTTCTATTTCTGTTCCTGAACCTGTCAAAGTTTCATCATTGTTGTAGTCTGCTCAGGGCTGAATAACAAATACTATAGATGGGGTGACATCAACAACAGAAATTTGTCTCTCACAGTTCTGGAGGTAGGAAGTCCAAGATCAAGATGCCAGCATGGATAGGTTCTGGTGAAGGTTCTCTTGCTGGCTTGTAGATGGACACCTTTTAAATGTGTCCTCAGATATCTGTGCATTAGTCAAGGTTCTCTAGAGGAACAGAACTAATAAGATTTATAGATGTGTAACAGGAGATCTCCTGTGAAAATTAGCTCATATGATTATGGAGACTGAGTTCCATGATATACCATCTGTAAGCAAGAGAATCAGAAAAGCCAATGGTATAAATCAGTCTGAGTTCCACATTCAGGGGAGCCAATATTGTATCTCCCAGCGTAAAACCAATGGTCTGAGACCTGGGGTAGATTGAGGAGGTGTCACTGGCATGAGTCCCAGGTTCCAAAGGACAGTGAACCGGGAAGTATAATGCCTGCAAACAGAAAACGATGGATATATGAGCTCAAAGTCAGAGAGAATTTGCCCTTCCTTCATCTTTTTGCTCTCTCTAGGTCTTCAACAGATTTGGATGATACCTGTCCACACTGGCAAGACTAGATTTTCTTTATTTAGTTTACTTATACAAATGCTAGCCTCTGCTGGAAACACTTTCAAAGGCACAGCCAGAAATAATGTTTTACCAGCTCTCTGGGCATTTCCTAGCCTAGTTGAACTGACACAGAAAATGAACCATTACAATGTCTATATAAAATGCATAGGCTTGTGGCTAGTAGTGGTAGTGCAGCAGTAATGCCATTCTCTGCAGTGTTGAAGCTACATGGAAGGTCCCATGTTCACACCCTGAGGTCTCTTTGTACACATTAGGTACATGTGCTTACCTGGGTGGCTGGGGAGGGATTGCAGCATGAAGACCCTGTTAAGTTTTCTGCCTGTTCCTCTCCCCCATCTCTCTGTCTCATGAAGACATAAATAAGTACATTTTGAAAAGCATAAGCTTAAAGATTAATAGACATCCATTTACTTGCCACCTAGATGAAGAAACAAAACAAGTACCCCCACTTAATTCTCTCCTATCATGAAAACTACTAATTGATTTTTGTATTTACCATTCTCTTGAAAGATACACATTTACCACCAACATATACATATGTAAACCAGATATTGGGTGAGTTTGCAAAACTGAGTAGCACACCTGGTCTTCACGTGTAAAGATAAGATGATGCTTTTACTTTTATTTTAAAATTATTATTATTTTCAAGATTTTTGCTATAAGGTTCATGTGCTTGCCAGAGAGACAGAGAGAGAGACAGAAAAACAAAAAGTGAGAAATTACCCTCTGGGGCGGATGGCTATGTAATGATCCCTTCTCCAATCTCCTTTTGGGATTTTGGGCACATGCCTGGTGTGAGCTTCAAGCTTCTGGATATGGGACTTAAACTGTGATCAACCACATGGGAGTCTAGTGCTTTAACCACTATGCCACCTATTAGCCCCTTAATTAGTACTCTGACAGGATCTCATTGACTCTCCCTTTCACTCTCTTCAAAGGTGCGTGATGGTCATGCTAATAACTTTTGAATGCTTTTGTTTATTTTTAAAAAGAAGAGAAAAATATTCTTCATATTCTTCTAGACAATTATTTCCCCCAGACATATGACTCTTACAGGGTTTCTCAACCTTTTGTCTTGCTTTGCTTCTTGAAGATAGACAAGAAGAATCTCCAGTCCAATGTTCACTCTCAGCTCCTGATCTAAACCCTGAATAGGTCTAAACACTTGAACAAGTCCCAAGTCTGTCTTTCTCCCTCTTTTTACAAAAGTATCTATCATGTCTCTACCAGGCATCAGGGAAATGAAGGTAAAAAACTTTACCTTGCATGAGAGAATCCATACTCAATTACAGGCTTTTATAGTTGGACAAGATGATTAATGCTTTAAAGCTTTATTTCTGAAGAGACTTCAAAAGTTTGTGGAAAAATGGAATTAAAGTACAATTTTATTTTATTGCAAAGGAATTAAAATCCATGTAAATTTTTTTTAAACAATATGCATTTTCTGTGAAATTTTTGAAGACCCCTCATATGTAGCACCTCAAGAACCTAAAGTTTTAGAGTGGTAGTATCGATTAGGTTTTTCTAGTAGAACCCAATCTAGGACATAATATTTAAAAAACTAACTCTAATTTTGTTTCTCTGGACCATTCTTTTTCTTCTAGCTGAAAGATAAAAATGGAATTTCCTATTCTCTGCTCCCCAGAAAAGAATTAGTCCCTCCTATAATTTTTAAATGAGGACGTTCATATATTTAATGTAGATTGTGTTGGATCATTATTTTTAGATGTATGCCTTTTATACCATTTTGATACTTCCTTAAACACTTTTCATGCATTAAAATATTTTATTTTATGTATTATTACTTTTAAAACCCTAGCATTTTGCATTTTTGAGCCCACATAGTGGCAATGAGGCTTTCAAAATAAAGAAGTTAGATGTTTATGTTAGTTGGCTGGTTCAAGATCTTGCAATTTTTTTGTTGAATTGTAGATTTAATAGTTAAGCTGAACTATTAAAATAAGAAATATGGGGAACCAGCAGTTAGCGTAATGGCTATGTCGCTGGACTCCCACGTAGTCGACCGCGGTTTGTGTCCCGGACCCGGTGGCTTAAAACTCACGCCGGGCGCGTGTGCGTGCGTGCCCAAGATCCCGAGAGGAGAATGGAGGAGAAGGGATTGCGGCGTGACCATCCCCCCTGGGGGGTGATTTCTCGCTTTCTGTCTCTATGTCTCTCTCTGTCTGTCTGGCGAGCGCACGCGCCCTACAGTGAAAATCTCTCCAAAAAAAAAAAGAAACATGTACATTGTATTTTGAAGTTTGGCGAAGAAGACTATTTTCAGCATTTCAGAAATCTTAGGATTATGTCTGAACTTGGAGGTTCTGTCACCAGAGCCACTGTGAGAAATTTGCCACAAATTGAGTAGGGTATTTTATAAGGCACCTAGTTTAGTTGTTTCTTCTTTCCTGAGGTTCTGCTATTACCACACTAAAAACACTACTCACTCAAAAGCAGTTAACTTTTACTCAGCTCCTTGAGGAATAGGCAAAGTTGTTGATTTTATACTGGTAGTAGAGCTCTATAACACATCTTCACCAACAAACTTTCCTAGCTGTTCTTTTTTGATTCCAGGTCTTAATATTCAATCTCTAACTGTTCCTTAAAATATATCTTTAAAATCAGTTTTAAGCTGTACCTCTTCTGAAAGCTCTGCTTTGTTTTCCTCCCTTCCTCCTCTCCCTTTCCCTTGCTTCCTTCCTTCTGTCCCTCTTTCTTTGTTTTGTAATTTCATGCACTTAGTCTTGGTGTTGACCACCAGGTAGCAACAGTGCCATGAATAGCTTGCATCTCACAGGGAACTGTTGAAAACTGACAAAAAGATTAAGCTAAATTATTAAGGAGGGAAGGGGTAAGTGTCCAGCATTATGACGTTTTCTTTCTGGACTGTATCCTCATGCTAAATGCAGGCATCAATTATCAGCTCTCTGCAAGCAGACTCCTGGTACTGCCAAATCATTGTTACTGTGATACTGTGCTTCCTATAGGGAACACTGAGATAAGTAATATGAAGGCAGAGAGGCAAGAGGGTGACATGGATCATGCAAAGAAAGTGTATGACAGCTGTGGACAAGAAGGGATTAAAATCCTAAGGGAAGCATAGGAAGAGGATGCTTACTTCTGTAAATATCCCAAAAACCTATCATATGTGTGAGATATTTTTAACCATCAGAAACACATTTATGTCAATCTAGAAAAATCAAATATGTTATTTTAGATTTTTCTTTTTCCTTCACCCTTAGCCATACCTCTGGGTATTCTAGTTGTGCGTGGAGACTGTGATTTGGAGACTTGTCGTATGTACATAGACCGCCTACAAGAGGTGAGTTTATTTAGCCAATTATTTATTCTCTTCAGCTTTCTGTTTTGTAAACAATTACTGGCGGACATATTTGCATTTGAAATGATGCATGTGGGGAGGAAATGGAAAGGAGGTGGCCTTGTCCTCTAATGCACACACCCAGGTCTCCCCCTGCACACCCTGTACGCCTCCTTCCCCAGGTGGTGAAATGGGAAAGGACTAGGTAGGTTAACTCCAGGGTGCTGTTGTTCCAGTGTGTGCCTTAACTAGGCTTTGGGACGTCTTGTTTTCTTACCAGACCAGATCCCTCTATTTTTTGAGTTCTCCACAATTTCAAAGGGCACTGATAAATAATGAAAGGAAATAGAGATTTGGAGTTATTTAATGTTTTGTGTCTGGCATAGACTTCAGTCAGAGATAACTAGATTTTTTTTTAAATGAAACTTCTACAGAAATGAAAAAAGCTTCTATATTTCATAGGAATTTGTGAGAACACAGAGAAATAGTTTGTTCTATTTCCCCCTCAATTTGGCCTAACCATAGAGATACAGCCAGGACATAATCTTATATATAGTAGTCTTATGAATTTAAACTGCCCCACCAAACTCAGGGAATCCAAACACCTCATGGTTGTTTTTGCCATGTTCTGAGGAGGGCTATTAACTCCATTCTACAAATGGCAAAAAGCATCAATAGTAATTTTTTTTAAATCATTGTTTCCTGATGGACAGTACATAGTAGAGTCACTTTTGTATTTTTTAAACCGTCAGGTGATTCTGTCTCAGATAACATATGTAAATATAATAAATTAAAGGTATAGTATTATTTAAAATCCCTTCAAGTAATAGCCACTAAGCTTTAAACAATAGATTCTCTTTTTGGTAGAAATAAATTCAGATGGGAGGCAAATTTTTCTCCTTATCATCATGAAGAAAGAGATAAAATTGTAAATGCAAAATATTTAGAGATAGTTGCTAGAATTTGAATAATGATATGGGTGAGAGGAGAAATCAAAACATTTTATATTTGTAACTTCCTCTAGGTATTCTGACTGAAGAAAACTGTTTAAATAGGTTAAAATTTGGAAACATTTTAACATGTGATTCAGGTCCAAATCTATATTTCTAGAGTGCGTATCATTTCATTTTTCAAAGTAATGTATGTATTTTTTGTGGAACATCATTCAACATACCTACAATGAAAAAGTAAATTATAACTGGTTTCAAACCTTTTCTGTATATTTAACACTCAGATGACTTTGCTAATAAGACTTTATAGTAGTAAAATACATGTGGAAAAATTTTACTGTGTGGGAAGCCAATTTAACTAACTTACACTAGTATTCAACTAAAAGTAGGCTTCTTTATTAAAAAAAAAAAGTGAACTCAACAAATGAAGAAGAAAAGTTTTTAAAAACTAATTTGGGAACAGAGAGTGAGTTGATCAAGCCCTGTGTGAAGCAGGGAGAAGGATAAAGGGACCTAGGATTGCTGATAGCTGTAAATAGAATCGCTGCCTTCATTAGCCATGAAGCCTTCGGGACATGACAATAGTGATAATTTTGTTATAAAACTTTATAAAGGGAGTTAGGCTTTCAGAATCTGCCGGTAAACCCTCATTAATTCCAACCTTGTTAATTTGCCCTTCGTGATACTGTGGAGGTCGTCAGTGATTTCCTCCTCTCAGTCTATGAAAATCTGTGTTTGCCCAGCAACTCAGTGATATAAACCCAGTTTCCATGGCAGTATGTATTTGGTCTAAGACAAAGAAATCCTTTCTAAGTGTTTAAAGATACTTCAGAAGCATTCTTCACAAGCCAAAAGTTCAGATGCAAATTAAATATGATCGCTACTTACTGTAAATCGCCTATTCTTTACTTTTCCTCCTCTTCTTAAAATTATGATATGTCTACTTAACTCTAAATACTGTTTAGGATTTATAAGTTATATTTGCTACATGACCTCTCTTCTCACAGTTCAACTTGGTGTGCTTTTATTATTTCTGACAGTACCTTCTTTGTTTAACCTTGATAAATTTGGGTGAGTTAGATACTTTCCAGATGAGCATAATAATGTTAAAATGGGAGTTCAGTTGATCGAGTTGTAGGGCAGCTTGTTCAAACCAATTTTAAGGTATGGATTTTTTTTTTCTACTTTCTCATTAGGATCTGCAGTCAGTTTCTTCTGGCTCCCAGAGAGTTCATTACCAGGTAACACATAATTAACTCTCCTTGTTTTGTACCTTCAGGCCAAAAGAAGTTTATCTTTTAGATAATGTCTCATTTTGATTTAGAGTCTACATCTTCCTTAGGGATAGAATTCACTCTAAGAAGAATGTAGTATTGTTATTCTTCTTTCTTTTCTTTTTTTAAAATCTTTCTTTCTTTCTTTCTTTCTTTCTTTCTTTCTTTCTTTCTTTTCTTTTCTTTTCTTTCTTTCTTTTGCCATAAGGCATGTGCACTTACAGAGAAAAAGAAAGTGATAAATCACTCCTCAGCAGAGATAGCCATGTGGCAATTCCTTCTTTATTCTCCCCACGGGATTTTGAGCATTTATGCATATGCACTTGGCATGATTTTCAAATTGCCAGGTCTGGGACTTGAGCCGTGGTCGGCCATATGAGAATCCAAAGCCTTAAGCACCATGCCACCTGCTGGCTCCATGTTATTATTCTGATTCTTTTGTATTTTCTGGATTTTACATTATCCTAATCTAGCACAAATTTGGATGGCAGCATTTCTTCCAGATCATTTAGAAGAGATTATAAAATAAAATGCTTTTGGTACCGAATAACAGAAAACTCAGCTCAAACTAGCTTAGCAGGGAATAGTTTATGGTTCATGTATGCAAGAAGTCCAGATCAAGGGTAGACTCATGGACCTTTTGGTCAAGTTTTCTGCTCCATTTTCTGCTAGTTTTTGAGTTTTGCTCTCCTTTTCTGTCAGTCTCTCTTCTGAGGTAGGTGTTTTCATGGTCCAAGATTATTGCCATTAGCTTGTAGAGAGCATTTAGATAAAGAGGAGGCCCAGTGTCATCTGTAGAATTATTCATCAGTTAGGAAGAGCCATGGACCCTGAGACAAGCCTCAGGAGACTTGGAAATCAAGGAAAGGTGATATCTTGAAAGCCAAAAGTGAAATGAATTTCATCAAGAAGGGAGTAATGATCTATGTCAAATGCTGCTGAGAGGCTGAGATGAGGTAGATTGATTTCTGTACTTTTTTCTAAGAGTGCATATAAAATACATGCTATACACGTGCTGTTAATTTTCTTGTAGATGTGGCAAGAAGTTTAAAACTAAGTCTTTGTTTCTTGATGCAGAAATGGCTACTATTAGAATCTCTAGTCTGTTTCCACAGGGGTGGAGAGATGTATATAAAAAGAAAATGCTGTAAGAAACATGGACAACAAAATGGCTTAAATGCTTTTTAATGAATGTTCTTGTGTGTGAGATGGTATTAAACGTGCTTGGAGAATTAACTGAAGAAAATGAATAAACACCAGTGAGTTTCAAAATCTGAGACTCTTGTCAGTTCACTAATTTGCAGCAGGGCGTTTAACTGCCTATTTTCTAAGGCTAGGAAAAAACTCAAGAGAAAAGCTAAAGGTGTACAAGTGCCCAAGACACCTTATTAGTGAGCCATATGGCAGTTCCTTGCTATGTATATATTTCATTGCTTTGGTTTCTTCCTCTTCCAAATTCTTAGTGAAATGCCAGCAAAGCACTAAGGCTCAAAAATGACACCTTGTATTAACTTAACAAGGCATTATGGGTTCTTGTTCAAGAATGTGTTGGATATTTATAACTTGCTGAAAATTCTTACCTTCACCATTTCCTAAGTCAAAATCCAAAGTCTCCTCAATCCTATGGCACATATGTAACTTCCAACTGATATGTTAGACAACAAAGTGCATTGTGATTGCAGATTTAAGATATTTTTGAGATTGGGTTATTTCCAATAATTCCAGGGAGGAATTGGACTCTACCTATTTGACAAGGATATTTCCTGAAGCCCTGCTACAGTGGTATCATTTCTCTTTTGCTCCCTCCCAGGAAAGCATTATTTCTCTTCTTAACTTAAAGTCATAAAGTTACTAAGGATTAGACACAGATTCAACCATTAACCAGTGGTTCTCAACTAAGTAAGATTTTGTTCCTGTAGCAATGTCTGGAGACACATTTTGGAATCTGTTGTGCAGAAGCCAAGGATGCTGTTAAACATCAACCAATGCACAGGGAGTCTCTCCACCATAAAGAATGGTCTAGCTTCAAACATCTGGTGTAGAACTTGAGACAGCCAGTCATTCTGATTGTACTCTGGGGACCATGGGTAGGTGTAAGTGCTAGATGAGGAAAGGAGAAAGAGAAAGGAAGAGAAAAAGTACAGACAGAAACTAGAGAGAGGCTTCTATGTATATGGTAGGGTGGAGTATAGAGAGAACCAACAGCAATTAGGCCTTTTTAAAAAAATTTTTTAAAGACATTCTGAGTTTCCTCATCTCCTCTGTGGAGCACTGTATATAATGAGTTCTAAGCTGAGATTTTTAATGAATACCATAAAGTTCAATAGCAGGTGCAAAAATGGGTTCATGCAGGTAATTCCTCTTTCTCTAAGAATTAATTCACTTAAATGGAATATTTAAAAATAGATGTAACATTTTTGAAAGTGTTTTCATTCTTTAAAGTAGTACAGATTTCTTTTGCATCTGTGAAAAAATTTCTCTTAGATCTAAGTCTACATCTATTTATTCATTCTCTGATCTCTCCCTCTCTCTCTCTCTCTCTTCCTCTCTCTCTCTCTCTCTCTGTTTTTAACCTACGTACCTGCTCTTTGGTCTGTGTTGTATTTCATTAAAGCACCGCCTAGTCCTAAGCAAACATCATTTTCCTACAACTATTTGATTTTTCCCGCTCTCTGTGCGGACTCCTTATTCATCCCTCTCCTTGCTCTGAAATCTCTTTTACTTGTTTTCTGGATTCTAAAAGAGTTCTTGAGTGAATAGTGTGAAATATGTTTCAGGGAATCTCCTTGGTAATTAATGTATCTTATCTTAGAGAAGGACTGGGCCAGCTAGGAACTTTAGAAACTTGAGGAACTTTGGAGAATGTTGTTTCTTTGGACTAGACTGAAGAAATCAGAAGTAGGTCAATGAGGAATTGGAGTACGACTTGCCTAGGGCCAGGTCTGTTGACTGTTAGATATGAAGTCAATATTGTTAATACACACACATACACACAAACACACACACACACACACACACACACACACAGTTGTTGTTAATGGAGGACTTTCTCTTATGAAGGCACTCTTGAAAATGTTGAATTATCTCCCACTTCCATCTTCTACCACATCATCACTGTTTCTTCATCTCCCAAAACTGGCTTGAAGAATTGCCATCTCATTTCTGTGTTCTTTTAGAGGTATTGTGAGCAACAAGGTAGATTGGGGATGGAAGATTTTTGACATATAAAAATAATAGTAGCAAATCTATTAATTGAGACTATAGTTGGATAGAGACATATAAACATATATTTTTTGTGCAACTTGGTGGAAAAGAAAAAATGGATCTATAGATTGATTTTGTATGATAGATATCAGAGAGAGAAATGATAAATTTTGATGGGTAAATAAGAGAAATTTAAAATTAAGGTGACAGTTAAATGAAGCAGGGGTTCCCAACCGAAGGGACTTTCATTATGCCTTTGCTTATATTTTTCCTAAATTTTGTGAAAGAAAAAGAATTTCATTCATGTGAAAGGTATACTTACATGCTAGGTAACTATTGCTTAATTGGCTAGCTTACTGGAGTATGTAATGGACCGCTGTGCCCTGTTAAATGATGAGTAGTTGAATGCAAATTAAGGGCAGTTTGGCATATGTATGCCAAATAGTGGTTCAGATCATTTCTTTATTTATTTATATGTAATACATGCCAATCAGCTTTCAGAAATATCTATATATGAGAAATATCAAGTTTGCCTTTGTGCATCTGGACGTATTTTTAGCATGAAAAACAGATTTCCATTAATATATATCAAAAAAGAAAATTCACATATCAGGGACTTTGAAATGATCAGCTTTCATTATTATTTTTCATTTAAAGAGGATGTAACTTCCTAAGATTATTACATTTAAAATAGAAAAGAGCATGGTGCATCTAAGGTTGTGTCACTTGGCTTCCATTATAGAGCAATGACAGTTATATTAATGTAATCACACTATATGAAAAAAAATAACAGATCAAAAAATGAGCAAGTCAAGTATCTTATCTCTTTGATGAATCATTGATTTGATTATGTAATTTGAGACGGCTGAAGAGGCCTGAGGACCTTAATTATCACTGAAAGCAGTAGATGTGATGGTTAGAGGCACAGCTCAGGTAATTATGTGGTGTCTTCTGAACTGTCGCTGTGTTCATACAATCACATTTCTTAAGTACCTACAGTCAAATGGTTTTGAAAGGTGAATATTTTTAAGCTTGTATTTTTGACTCTATCAGAAAAGTAGGTCACTGAACATGTATTTTAATATATAGCATTCACAAATCAAGCATACTTTTGAGCATGCATTCATGCTCTGGTTTATGAGAATACTGGAAGATCCAACCTGGGTTGTCCATGAAGTTAAGGTCTGCCCTTGGACCCAGTGCTCACTCCCTGTGAAGTGGGTTTATTTATTTATTTTTCCATCACTTTCTCTTTCCTTTGCAAATTGATTCATTGTCTAGATTCCACAGCTGGTCACTCTCCTGCAGGGGGAGATCTGAAATTTCTTAATGTCACAGCCACTAAACACCCACTCTTTGTCAATTCCTCTGTGAGGACACAGTGAGGTATTTACCTGTTGGAGGTGTATCATCCACAATAGGTTAGTAATGACATTTTGACATTTTTGTTTTAAACAAAAATTGTAACATGTTCGATATTACTTCACTATTGACATCACCATTATTTGCTCATATTCTAATTCTCTTTTTTAAATAGGAGAGAAAGATAGCTAGACAAGTTGCAGGAATTACTTGCACATATGTACATAAAAGCCTAGTAATTTACGTGAAGAATAGTCAAGTGTACAAAGTTCATGGACCATGTCTGTAAGTTGTGAATCTTTTTTTTATTTTATATAATTGTCAGAGGATGCATGAACTCACTATGGAGAGAGAAAGAAAGCATTCCCCAGTGGGGCTGTGATCACACTGTAATCACTTTC